CCGTACACCAAACTTTTTTGCCTTTCCCCACATATACTTCGGGGTACCCAGCATCAGTGCCGCCCTTGTGCGCCCCTGTGCCCTTTCTTTTTTGGTTTCAGGAGTTAAAATTAGGTCGTTCCCTGTGGCGGTAGTCCCCCCAGCGTTGAGCATCCTGGGAGATTTTTTGGACATAAAGGCGGCTTTTTTGGTTGCTGGGTGTCTTCTTCCGTTATTTTTGTCCGGCCATTGTGGGGGGGGGGGGGGCGCACAGGTGGTTCGTCGGCAAAAGGCAATCGCAGAGAAGGAGGAGTTGACGAGGCAGAAGGCCAGGGCGGCGGATGAGAAAAAGCGGGCAGAAAAGAAGGCAGCCCTGGCGAAAAAGAAGGTACGACGGGACGATTCTCGTCGCCCATGTATGGGTGCCGAGGTTAAATGTCCGAAAAGAAATCATAATTCATCATTTTGTTGCTGCTGCCTCCGCCTAATGCTGCTACCTACTGCATTGGCGAATATTGAAGTGGCGACATTCTAGGCCGCATCTGTACATCACAGCTTCATGCTCGTCCTATTATTCGATGTTTCTCGCTAGGCCTTGGTGTAGACTATGCTGCCCACAGCAGTCACATGTCCTGTGTAGCGATTGCGTCTCTCCATCGAGGGAGAGAAAAAGGAGATGTGGTTGGAGATCGTTGGAGGCGTGATGTTTTTCGAAGTCGGCGAAGTACCGTTTGGGGCATTATGTACACCACAACAGAGCATGGCAACCCCTTGCTTTCGCCGGGCAAAGTATCATCGAGATTTATCAGGAAACACACGCGGGACTGTGAAATTCCCTTGTTGCTTAGGGCATTGAAAGTGGCATCTTCGTTGTCCGACGGCTCCGGGGAGAGCTCTTCTTCTTCTCTCTCCTCAAGCGTGGTGTCACATTCGTCAACCATGCTTCTCGACTTCCCGTGTGTGTCGAGCGAATGATGCCTCATGCCCGTTGGCGCAAACAACCCACTTTCTCCCGCCATGGTTGACCGAGGCGAAACAGCGGTGAAACTCATGCTCACACAATCTGTGAGTGATCTATCTCACTGACCGTGGAAAATACACGCACAAGGTTCTTCACGCGCACAGCAAGCCAGCTCTCGAGGGTGCAGGTGCTCCCGTATGATGAAAACGTCGTCGCTTTCAGGTGCTCTGCTCACCCCAGCCGTGTATGCATCCTTGTGATCAAGCGCCCACATGTGACTACTCATCGTGTCGGACTTCGCCGCCAGTACCGAGTGTCGTTTGCGACGCGATCGCACATCTTGCGAACAAAACATTTATCCAAGATTAGTGAGATAGTTCACACGAGTTTTGCGTGAACAAGTTTTCACTGCTGTTTCGCCTCGGTGAACCATGGCGCGAGAAAGTGGGTTGTTGACGTCAATGGGCCTCGTAGACATAGACAAGCGGTCTTTGATGTGTCGTACTGTAGAATAGACACCGTTTGTGACCCGAAAGATATACAGTGTCCACCTGTCCAGGCAAGAAAAGGCGCCTAGATCGATCCATCAGAGCATCCTCCGGCGTACAACTCGAGTGCAACCGATAATCGTACGGCTTGTTGTAGTCGATATCAGCTGCCCTGAAGTGTAAACGTAGACGCGCTGGCGCGGAAGCCCATGCTTCGTTCTTCGTAGCCGATAAAACTCCAACCGCAGTCACGCCTGACGCGCGAATGGGGGTGGCAGCCAAATCCGCTACCAGCAAACGTGTCGAATCATTTTTTTCGCCACTTGTTCAAAAGGAACGGGGAGTCACCCGCGATGAGGTGCATGTTCACCATGTTTTTTTTTTTTATCTCGACAGCTATGCCGTCTCGACGTCTCTCAAGACGCATGCGCCTCTTTCGTAGGCAAGGTATAAATAACCAAGTACCCGCCGTCCTCATGAGAACGCATAGCCAATGGCCTAACAGCTAAGGCATGCAAAACGTGAGTACCTCCCCACCCCCCCCCTCCGTTTTATTTCTGTTGGCCTTATGCTTCGGGTACGTCGCAGGCAGAGCAGGAAGACCGTAAGAGAAAGCTGGCTGCTGCTGATGCTGCTGCTGAGGCCTCCTCTGGCGGTGGTGTGGGTGGTGGCGAGGGAGAAGGGGTCGTGGAGGTCGGAAAGGATGGTGCGTTCGACGTGGACTCGGCGCCTTCGACGGTGAGTGGATGGCGCAAGGTTGTGGCTGTCGGTTTTCGGGTTGTTGTTTTTGTTTGGTGTTGTTTGTGTTGGTGCTGCTGTTGTTGTTTGTTGTTGCTGCTGGTGATGATGACCATGTTGCTGTTGGTTATTGATGTTGTCGCTGTTGTTGTCGTTGCTGTCCATCACTACAATCGGACAAGAAGTAACGTCAGAGTTCACCCCGAATATGACGCGGCAGTCCAAACTTTATTCGACCATCGAAGAATCTGCCGTGGTGTTTGATTACTTGCTGCAACGTTCCATACGGGCGCCCTCTGAACGGTATCATCCCACACCATGAACGCCTATTATGTATGACATGACAAACAGACATATCCCACGATAGATATATATCGGTAACCTACGTATGATACAACAAACAGACATGATGCACGATAGATATCGGTGAACGCCTTCTGTATGATATGTCAAACAGACATAAGTCCACGATAGATCTTGTATGGGTAACGCTTATGTATGATGTGACAAACAGATATCATACATGTAGATCGGTGAACGCCTATGTATGATATGACAAAAACAGACATGATGATACAGATATCAGTAACGCCTACCATGTACTTGTATGATATGTGGACCAAACAGGATGCGGCGGGAACTTCGACCGTGGTCCAGACGGGAGTGGCGGCGGCGGACATGAAGGAAGCCGTGAAGGCTGCGGCGGCCGCTGGCGGACTGTCTGCGGTACCAGCAGCAGCAACAGCGGCGGCCGGTGGGGACGGACCAGAAGAAGAGGAGACTGGCGACAAAGAGAATGACGAGGAAGAGGACAACTCCCCGCCTCGTAAGGTTTTTGTTGTCCTTTTGTTTTTTTTTGTCGTCTCTTTTTTTCTTCTTTATCCTCTTTTGTTTTTTGTGGTTCCATTTGTTCTGTTTTTTTTTTGTTTATCCCTTCGCTTTGTATCCCATTTGTTCTGGACGTCGGTCCTTCCATCTTACTGTACAATTCTGGACGCACCAGCCGGGGTCACGCAGGAAGAAGGCAACACAGGAGGTGTTAATCTACCTTCCTTCTGCGGTGCTTGCCTTGACTTTTATCGCGACAAGGATTCAGCCGTTTCTTGCCCTAGTCAACCGTGAGCTCGAATTTTCGCGTACACACCGATTTGATCCGGTTGGTGCTTGTGTGGTGTTTGAGGTTTGAGGCTTGCCGCGTGCTGGTCCACCGTAGGTGGCAACGTTAGATACCACACCCCCTGGACGGATTTTCGAAGCTCGATCTCTCCACAGCAAAACGAGTGGCAGTGCCGAAAACGGCGGCGTTGGAGCCGTCTCGTCGAGAGCTTTCGAAAACGCATCGTTTCATTTATGCATCCTCTTCGTCATGGAGAAGTCCAGGTTTGAGAATCGGTCCAGGGGGTGTGATATCTTGCGCCCATGTCACCTATCGTAGTCGGATTCTCATGTCACCTACCGTAGTCGAATTCTCGGTCTTTACCACCTTCAGAACCCGACAGGCTTAGGCGTGGCAGCTCTAGGACAACCAATAACGAAAGTGTTTACAGGGCACCAACTACTACTGCCAGGGAAAGAGTGGTCTGGTGCCAATATAGTAAATACCCGCTAGATCTGTGTTGTATATGTGTCTGTACAGCCGGGAAGGTATTTCTATGTATATCTCCTGATTCCCGCACGACATTTCTTGGAAACAAACTTGTGAAGTGCGTGGAGTATCCTACAAAGGAGAAGAGCGAGTTGAAATTTCGAAGTTTGCTGAAAAATGTGTCCACAACAACAATTGCTACCCGTAGGTGCTTGTGTTCGCGACCTATTGGCCCGGCATAACGTGTGTGCTGGATTCGAAACCATGTCCCACAAGATATGAAGAAGCATGTGTTATGTCGTACGGGTAATCTCTCTGTGATGGTATGCATATTTTCTAGAAAAATATATCCATAACCAGCAGGGGTCCGCCAACCATCTTTGCCAAGACTTGATTGACTCAGCGCATCTCCTCCAAGAACTGTCTCGAAACGGGTAGTCTACCTGCGACGATATTCGCACTCTCTCTATTCATTGGTAGATACCGTCGTATCGCCCTCTTTTGTTCTGTTGCTCAGAAAGATCTTACACAGTAGATAACCTCTTCTGAGTTCTGTCCGCGAATTACCTTTCCCGCCCGGCGTCTCCCGTATCTCCCCCCGATTCTGCAGCGGTCGGAAACGGCGGCAGCACGGACAAGTACGACTGGACGCAGACTCTGCAAGAGCTCAGCGTGGTAGTGCCGGTGCCGGAGGGATCCAAGTCCCGAGATGTTGTGTGCGACATCACCAAGTCGCGCCTGAGGGTTGGGCTCAAGGGACAGCCGCTCCTCGTGGACGTGAGACGGACATGGGAGGGCGTAGTCATGTTTTTGCATGCCTTCGTTGTTAGACCACGCGTCCTCGACAGGACTGAGCGTTGTTCCCATAAGACCGACCACCGATGGCCAATCGCTCCTTCCTATTTTGCGAAAGATGGCCCCTAGCCCGTCTATCCTATCTGAGGGGGAGAAGTTACTCATAGCCGTGCTTGCCGAAAAAGTCGTTAGACTATTGACCACGCATCCCTATAAAGCCGGGACGGAGCACGTCGCGTTCTCACGGGACCAGGGGTGTGCGTGTGTGTAAAGAAACCCCAGAAGCGTTCGTCGGGGGTCCTCTCCTTCCGTTGTCGCCAGTATGTCAACATACTCCGCTGTTTTCGGCAGTTGCCGTATTCAGCGATTTTTGGTCATGGGCACATTGTTAGATAAGGCCAGCCCTTCTTGACGCCGACGTGAGCAAACGTCCACAGTGCGTTTGTAGCCGTCGTACAGTGGTAGTCCCACCTCACCAATATGCGAGGCTTGGCTCCTGAACTGTGCCACCTACAGTAGTTAGATCCTCATACCTTGGTGTAGATCCTCTGACAGGTATCAGGAGAGAGATCCTTCCTCGTTAGCGAAAGGCGAAAAGACTGACGTCCAGAACATAAATGGGACGACAAGAGCATAAAACAAGACAACTCTCCACGACGCTTGTTATTATTGCACGGTACAAACCAAGTTGGTAGATACCTTCCTTGACGTTGCACTGGCCCTGCAGGTGATGGAGATCCTTCCCGTTGTGACCACAGGGTGCATTGGGTGGTCATCCCCCGACCTCCCTCTTGCTACAAGGAATTGATTTCTTTCTCGTTTTCCGGCTACATGTCCTCGCACGGCCCTTAGCTTCTTTGATTGTGGCGTCGCTCGATCAAGTTTATCGAACGAGGCACCAGCGATGGTCACGCGCAAAATCGGACTCTTTGACCCTTTAGCCAGGCCCTCGGCATCTCGAGACCCGTTCGGTTTTATCCCCACCACTTCCACTGCTGTTGCAACGTTGTTGCAGACGCTGCTGTGCACGTGGTATCACTCCCTTTCCTACAGTAGTAGAATGCCGGTGGTGTGTTTTTTGTTTGATCCACCCACCTCAACCCTATCCCTTCCCTTCAGGGGATACCCCCCCCCTCCCCCCCTCCCGCGCTTGGTGATGTGCGGGCCTGGTCCGGTGAGAACCCGGCGTGCTCCGTCCTGGCTTTGTAGGGATGCGAGGTCAACGGTCTAACCACTACGGCATGCACGACTATGAGTACACCCCCTCCGGCAAGAAGCACGCGGGCACGGTGCCGTAACTTACCATTTTTTTGTCTATTTTTTTTTTATGCAGGGCGAGATGTACAACAAGGTGAAGGTGGACGACAGCTTTTGGACCCTTGAAGATGGGAAGGAAGTCAGCATCGCGCTGCAAAAGGTGATGGGGATGGCAGTGATGGTAATGCAGAATCTGCGGCGAAGAACACAACAAACGCATGAAGGATAATACAACAGCACCTGTGGGTTATGGAAAAAAATACGATGTGCTGCAGTAGGGTCGCTGTATTGGTGTGAGAATGTGGTGGTTGTTCATGACGAGGCCGCAGAAGAACGGATGGACCAGGCTGTCCAGAGAGCAAATGACACGAACGCGAAGGGCAACGATCACGGCAACTCCAGTGTACGGTACGGCAGTAGTAACGCATCAGATCGTGCTGAAAACTTTCGGCAAGGAGCAGCAAGGTGACAGTACAGTCAGTGAGCTCGCACGAGTCTGCGCGATTGTGTACCATCGTTTTTTTCTTTCTGAATGTGTCATAAATTGTACCTAGACCCCATGTTACGTGTTCACTCGGGAGAGTTTGGATTTTTTTGCATTACTTTGGTGTCGTCCAAATTGAGAAAGAATGCGCACATGTTTGCAGCCCCCCCCCTGCCATATCGCCTGGACACTACGGCCAATGGATGACGTTGACCATTTCCCCTCGGCCTGTGTGAACTTTCCGGGAACTTGGCTCATTGTAATAGGAGAACCAAATGGAATGGTGGAAGTGCGTCGTCAAGGGTGACCCAGAGATCAACACCTCTAAGGTAAGAAGGCGGAGTATAAAAGCAACGGATGATGCTTCCGGGGATAAGATAACATATGTGAGCTAAGGGCGTGCACTTGAACCTTATGAATCAGCAACAAATTGCGGAAGCTTGCAGATGTATTGTAAGGCAAGGGCGTGTACTTGAACATAATAGTAAACATGGACGATGCGCTTCGGGGATCACGTGTCTAAGCTACGGGTGTATGCACTTGAATGTTACGAAAATGCAACAATTGAAGATGCTTCCCGAGATGAGCGCCTCTTTGGACGGCTGTATCGTGCTATGTAAACACCTCCGTGATGTGTCGTCGTTTCAAGCGGAGAGAGACCACAGCAGTAGGCAAAGCAGATGCTGGAACGCCCACGGAAGCGTAAAAAAACAACCTACCTTGGGCCTCTGACCACTCTCATGTCAGAGTTATGTAGTGTCAGGCCCATCCGCTCACATGGTGCAGATAGACGAGGGAGGGAATGTAGGCACACAGTACAACGATATACTACGTTAACTGTTGGGTGCATGTTTTTTGAGAACCATCCAACCCTGGCTAGCCTCGAGTAACGGCCGTGCTACGCGGGTGGAATGGGTTGTGGCGATGGTAATCCCCGACCCCGGTAGACTCAAATGCCTTCCAAGCTTAGTGGATTTTTCCGACCGTATGTTGTCAGGTGCAACCGGAGAACAGCAAGCTGTCCGAGCTCGACGGGGAAACACGCAAGACTGTGGAGAAGATGATGGTAAGTCAGTTACTCGTCTGCCGTTTCTGTCTCACGCTTTCGCAACACAGAAAACGTCCACTAGAAACGTACCCACCACTTGGTACCGTACCTCGAAACAGCGAGAATTGTAATTATACTTCTGGTGTCCATTTTTATTTCCTTTTCTTTGATTTCTAGAAAGGTGTGCCCCTTTTTTTTGGGTAGGTGGCTTGTGGCCGCGGAGAGCGTCCGCTTCAGGTGGACCAGTACACATGTTTGAAGGTACTGACTGAATGGAGACCCGAACGGCTTTTCGGTGTGGAGACAAGAGCAATATATATTGACCTTTGAGAGGGAAACATGTCGTGTTGTTTTTCGAGAGATGCGAGTGCGTCCGGCCAAGAGGTATGTAGACCAAACGTATGGCACCCTGGAACTGGTGCTAGCCCCGCTGCGTGAAAAAACGGAAACAACATGCCAGGTTGAACCATTGTTTTGATAATGTGTTTTTTTGAGTCGACAGTTGTTTCGCTGTCGTTATTCCGACTACTCCTTGCCGGTGATAGTGCGGATATTTCACGTTCGACATGTTCATCTATTTTCATCAAACTGTCAGTCCCAGCATCCTCAGTAGCCTTCACGAGGATATGAAGCTTGGCTTTAGAAGGGGTTACGGGTTTGGGTTGGGGATTGGGGTTACGAAACCTGTCTCTATTTCACATATACTTAAGAAACGCTTAACATGCTCGCGAAGGCGGTCCTATTTTCATTCGTAGAGTTTTTTTTTTTTTTTCATTTCTGCGGCGTTCTCCTCGTTCTGTCTTGTTCTCTTGGTTCCGTCTGGGGGAGCAGTTCGATCAGCGTCAGAAGGCTCAGGGGCTGCCTACCGCAGACGAGATGAGCAAGCAGGAGATGCTGGGGAAGTTCATGGCGCAGGTACGGTTTTTTCACTGCGTTTGTTGTTGGTGGTGGTGGTGGTCGGGAGCGGCGGCACTGTTGTTGGGGTGGCGGTGATCGTGGCGGCGACAATTGTTGCTGTTGATGTTGTCGATGGTGCTGGTTTTGTGGCTGTTTTTGGTGGTTGTTGTGGTGTTCGAGGTGGTGGTGGCGACGGTGGTGCCGGTTGTTGATTTTGTGCTGGTTGTTTTGACTGTTGTTGTGGACTAATTGGGTACGTTTTTGTTGTTGTTGTTGTTGTTGTTGTTGTTGTTGTTGCTGGCATCTACATCTACTATGTGTGCGGTCTAAATTTCGCTTGATAGGCGCCTCACGGTCCACCTCTCAATCTCACCACGAATGTAAAGGCCCCTACTTGCCACTTACGTCGTTTTTTATCACAGTACTTTAGGACCGTCGTCCGCCTCGAAGATCATGACAGGTCAAGTCAATCGTCAACGTACTCTTTTTTACACCAGGTACTTGACAAGCAACAATTTGAGTACTGCTCCCCTATCCCCGGTGCCATTTGTTGTGCGACTGCTTCGTTGGCACCCGTGCTGCCGTTTTTTTCATTTTTTCTTTGTCAGCACCCGGAAATGGACTTCTCGAGGGCTAAGATATCGTGAGGGCAAGACGTGTTGAGGGTCAGAGAGTTAAGGCATCGTGAAGGCTTAAGACATCGCGAGCGTCGGGATGCAGGGGATCGCACCTCAGCGACGAGGCCAGGAGGCACAAATCGCTTCACGGGTGTAGCTGCTGTGGCAGGGCCAGGTGTCTGACGGGTGGGGGGATGGACGCGAACGTCAATGAGTACCTTGGCGTTCATGTTCCTTTCACTCTTGGTGTGGAATCAATTCGCCCTCCCCATGCTGCTTGGTTGTTCCGGTTTGTGAGCTGCTCGAATATCTCTTGCAACTACCGAGTTTTCGAGAGTGCTGTTTTCTTTCTTGTTTTCTCCTTTTCTCTCTTCCTCCCGCTGCGGGTTTCCATTTTACACGTTACACCGTGTGCATGCACGAGGCATTTTTTGTCGTCGCCATTTGACTGAGTTGAGTCGCCGGACAATGGAGTCCGGTTTGGTTTATCGCATGGCCAAGAAAGCTGCACAGAATGCTGATCGTATCGGCTTGACGATGGGAAATCAAGAGGGCATCGGACGAGAAGCTAGTTTGTGGTGAAAGTACCACTCATTGCTAGTTCACCAAGCCATTGGCGCCCGGCACTTTGGTTTTCTTGAGGTTACGAAAGCAGTTTTGGTGTAGATGCATGCGGGTGAGTGGGTAGTGGGCGTTGTGTGCCCAGCCGTCACGGCGGTAAGAGCGTCTAGCCGACCATCCCTTCTGGGCGCTCCACTCAGCTGTGACTTTGTTGACGGGTGGTCCACGTGTGTCGAAGAACCAACCCGGTAGCTCGCAGAATGTAGGAGTGATGGGGAGAGCATTAGGGTGGTTGAGAGCGGACGATTGATTTGCCTGGTGTAACGTGTTGTGTCGTGTCTTGTTTTTCGGCCCTGTGTTCGATCTTCAGTGCATGCGTCGTTATTTTTGGTGCGCGTGGGGGTTAATGCACAACGAGGAGAGACGAAAAAAACGGTTCACGCCGTTGAAGAACGGGAAACACGCGGTTGCTTCCCCCCGACGCCTGAGTGACTTAACGATAACGATACCAACAGCCCGTTTGTAGCCCTGACCTCAACGGTAGCCCGCTTCCTTATCGCCCCCCCCCCAACTCCGTCGCCAGAAAGGGGAAAGGAGGGACAGAAACAAGAAAAAACTCTTCCAACAGCTACGGCGCGTGGGCGTAGGTCCCTGCTTTAATGTAACACCCTGTCAGTCATCTGTGGTGAATGCAAGGACAGGATCTCAGGGGAGCAGGCTAAAGTGTCCCGGGTGTGCACGATGGTTTTGGGGCATACCCATGGTTATCTGTGCAGCATGGTCCACCTGGGCGATAGATAGATGGGTTCTGACATGTTCCAGCGTCACTGCGCCGGGTGTGATTTCTTTTGGGTTTCGGGAACACCTTAGGAGGGTTCTAGGGTTACGTTAACCCACGGATGGTTGGATCACCTTCATGTTCCAACATATACTAGATTTTACGGGGCCTCATGTGCTTGTTACGCGTGGTGCGCCGCCTCACCCGCAACCTCCGAGGGGAAGACAAGGGGGGCTTCAGCGTCGGGCCGGGGCTACCCCCCCCCCCCC